CGTGGTTTGCTGAACCTAGAAAAAACATTGATAAAGTCTATTTTGCAATTATTTTAAAGTGCTTCCTTCAATGGCAAAAAAAACCCTCAAACGCGCTAAATTTTAGACGATGCCATGGAGTTTTGTGAAAAGATGAACAAGATTGCCTCTTGCAAGAGGCACTCTTTGATTATGCAAAGGAATGAGATTACTTGATAAGAACTGTATGGCACAGTAGGAGCAACAAAAGTCTGTTGAGCAGCTCCTTGGCGTAACTGCCAGCTAGGATCAGTAGAATTTACGGGCATTAAACCAGGTTGGCCTTGCAAAGGTTTCGGAGGGTACTGCTGAAATGCTGCTCCATACTTGAAGGAAGCCAGCGGAATTGAAAAATCCTTTAATTTTTCAAAAATATGACTCATATCAAAAAATATTTAATCAAACCATCATTTGTATTTGCGGAGTAAGTCCAGAGCAACTTTGCTGCATAGAAAGATTTGTAGCGGGGCACCCTGACGTTGGTGCAATGACCCTCTAAAGAACCAAATTCCCCTTACAAATTGCAACAATTTGCAATTAAAAATAAATTAAAAAACTACGAAAATAAGTAAAAACATATAATACTGAAATCTAAAAGTACCGAATATGTCTGAGGAACTTGAACAGAACTGGCGGGGACATTTACAGAAACTACTGGCTGGCTTTGTCCACAGGATCTGGGTGTGGTTTGCCCCGCGTACTGAAATATTTTATCAAGCAGAACTAAACAGCATGTTAGCAGAAAGCTCTCTTCCTCCGCAAAAAATAAATAACTGAAGCAAGAAGAAATGATAAAAAAAAAAACAAATAAAAAAATAAAGATGTTACTCAAAAAAACATGGTCTGTTTTTAACTAAAACAACTAAGTAAAAAACTTGCTAGCTTGTTATAAGCAATTTGCAAACATTCCACAGAAAGATAAAACTAACCATTATGTTTGTGTTCATTTGAACCGGAGGTTGGCCTTGCAGCAATGGGTTTGCTGCACTCTAAAATATATATAAAAAGCCTTTAAATAATATAAAACATAAGTACCGCAGCAACACCGGCAGAGTATTTCTTATAAAGACTCGAGAAAAATTGATTTTTAGTAAAGTTCTTTACTTTAGGTGGTGTCAAAAAACAAAAAACAGAACAAGAAAAATAGTCCTTGATATTTGAGAAAAATCAATATCTGAAATGCAAAAGTTAATGAACTTACTTGTATTGGACGATAAGGCTGGGAATAAACTGTCGGTACCATACTGCCACTTGTAGGCTGTATTATCTGATTTGACCAAGGATGAACCCCGTTCAACAATCCGTTGTTCACATCTTTCATGCTCTAAGAAACAGATCCCAGGTTCTCAAAATTAGATTGCAAAATTTTTTGAAAAAGGATAAAGCTGCAGTGATGAGAAACAAAGTGAAAAAAATAGAAATAAAAACGTTACATGCATCGGTTGTTGCGGAAGAACATTGCTGCAGTTACCAGGCAAGGTCGTAGGAAACTGTGGTGTGCTCATAGGAGCAGAACAAGTAACAACTGCACCATCAAAAGGAACGGTGCTCTGCCTTGCTGAGGTAGGTGGGAAAGAAGATGCACAAGACCCTTGATCTTAAAACAATTTTTTCAAGAAAGAAAGAAATTAAAATTGTGAAGCCGACTGAAGACAAAGGTACTAAATTTTTTGAAATCAAGAGAAAAAATACGTACTAAATGGAATACTAGGACTACGGAATTGGTTACCAACAGTGTTCCCCATATACCCAGGTAAATTCTGAACTATAGGTGTAACCATTCCTAAAAACCGTAGAACTATTTATTAACTCATTAAGACACAAGAATCTTTTGAAATCTGAAAATAGGCCAAAAAAAATCGTCTCAAGAAAGATGATTATCTAAAGGAAGTAGAAATAAAAGTTTCTGAATGCCATTACTAGCTAAGCTTGACCTTGCGTCTCAGCGGTTATCGAGCGAACTTCACTGCTCTCACTACTGAATTGCCTCATGATCCCTTCTGCGTCACGTGAAGCTTTTAATTTCCGTGCATGCTCCTCTGCCTTAATTCTGGCAGACTCTAAAGCAGCTTTCTCTGATGCAACTAAAATTTTAAAAAATGTTAATTCTTATATTTTTTTTTTGATGTAAAGTTACAAGAAAACACCTTACACGATTCCTCAATTCTTTTGATAACCCGTTCCACTGTGTCAACGCTCTTGAATAAACCGTCGTAGAATTTGAGTCCTTCGTCAGCCTTTTGAAGCACAGTGCAGTACACCTCGTATGCAGCAGTAAGAGCTAATATTTGATCTTTCCTACTAAAACGATAGCAAAATTTCAATACTCAAGTAATACTGCAATAAAATATGTTTTTGGTGGGCAAAAGAGGATCATTTAACAGGAGACTGAAGAGATAAATTTGAATTTATTACCTGTCATTTTGTTTCATAATTTCTCTGCGACATGCAGCGAATTCAGCATTAGCATCAATAAGACAGCTTAAAATTTTTTCTTGGGCGTCCAAATTTAAATCGATCAACTTTACTGTTTTTTCATGTTTTGCTAACTCTTTTTTGAAGAGATCCTAAATAAATGGTACGTAAAAGTATACTGCAAAACACATACTGAATAACAATGTCATACAAAAATTTGTGCTTAAAAACTTTAAACAAACACATAAATAAACCAGTGTATTTTAAAGAAAGAATTACTTACAGAATTATCAAAATCCTTTTCAGCCAAACATTTTGCAGTGATATCGTCATTATCAAGATCGTTTGTTAAATCTTTAACAAAACTTTCGCGTTGTTTTTTCATCTCTTCAGTTTTACGTAGAGCCTTCCTCAATTTAGCGCCTTCTGGTGTCTCAGCTTCAAAACCACGTAATTTAAGTTAAAAGTAGAAAATTCCAAAAAGAGATAGCCAAGATAGTAACCAACAAGGTCTTATCGGAAATCCAACAATACGACGACTCAATTCGGGTAAAGGCAAAGCCAAATTTCGTAACGCTTCTGAATGCGAAGCAATTTTCTTCTGTAGTATAATGTTATTTTCTCTGAAACTTCCCAATCAGAAAACTAAAATAAACCAAAGCAAAAAGAAAAGAATTTAAACAGATCTATTCCATAGCGTTGGTTACCTAGCCTGTGTGTGTTTCTCAGTTAAAGTCGCGAGCTTATTTGACGTGGCGACAAAGGCTTCATCCGATTTCTAAAAAAATGTTATAAAAGAGTAAGAAGAAATACTGGAATCTGCCATTTTTTTAGAAGAGAAGAGGAAATGAGTCAAAGATAAAAGTAAAAAAACCAAAAGCCCTTCTTTCAGTCTAAAAAGTCAAACCAGGCTTGGTAGATCGATAGCTGCAAGCCGATTACTTAAACTAGAAAGCTTCTCTTCTGCTTGAGCCGCATAGTTTCCCACTTCTATAAAAATACTCCAATACTTCATTCAAAAATAAATATATTTAGTAAGACCAACAATGGATTTCCCTCGAATATAATTTAAAAAACAAATATAAATTTGCAAACCTACTTTTTAGTTTCTCTAAGAGCTCATTAAAGGCGTCTGGTTGTGCATTAAAAGCCGCGCTTTTCTCTAATAAAGAATCTGGCAACTTCACTTCATCCACTGAAGCATCAAGATCAATATCCTCAAGCCGTAGCGAAACAAGATGAGCTCTAAAGTAACTCTAATCTACTACGAAATAGTGATAAAATCAACATATAAAAAGAACTCAAAGCCCACATACTCTAGATCCTGGTCTTTTATAGCAACTTTTTCCAAGATAGATCTTCTAAACTTGGCTTTTTCTTCCGCATAAACAGATACGGCTTTCAATACATTCATGGGTAAAACAGCAGCAAAAAGGTCGTCACCACAAACAGAACGATCCGTGGGATCAAAAGCAAGTGGCTTCACCATCGGCACAGGCTTTAACAGAAACAACAATTTCAAACCATTGACAGCCAGTATTTCAAAAGCTTCAACTGTCATACTTTTCCTCAAAGCACTTAAAGAGAAAGAAAAGATACTTCAACTGTCGGCAATTCCTCAAACTTTGGTTTTATGTCATGGTAGACAAAATCATTATCTTTCTTTGCACTCGTAAATCTGTAAGCAAAGTAGGATAAATAATACACCCGATATTATTAGAATAGATTGACAAAAGTCGTCGTGAATGCTAGAAAAAACATGGTTTACTTGGCGTTAGTCACATCATGCATGAAAGCTACAGCTTGCAGCACATTTTCTCGCTTATCCTTTTCTGCAAGACTCAGAGCCGCTAAAGCACTCTTTTCCGCTAACTCATAAAATGCTAGTCTGAAACTGGCACTTTTAGAAACACAAAAAAAAGTAAAAAATAACCACAAATAAGCCTTAGATAAAAGTAGGTAGAACGAAGTAAGTGAAAAAGCTTTAGTTTGTGTCACAGAAGCTATGATCTACGATGCAATGACAATTTTTTACTGCGTCAGTTATTGTTACGGCAAAGAACTTCATCTAAAGTGATAACATAATAGTTTAATCAACTTACCGAACTCCCATTTTTTTGTCTTCTTCTGCTTTGTCACCCATTGAGAGCATCGCAACAGCACCATAAAGTTCAGATTTAACTTTGCAAGTCCTCGCCCACTCCTTAGTAAGAAAAGTCATAATTATTACTCAGTATTTATTCAACTGCGAAATAAACAATAACTAATTTAGGTCTGCTGAAGAGGAAATTAGGCGAAAAATAGGCCCGACTTACCTTATATTTGCTCGAAGAAAAAAATTCTGACGCACGGGATTCTTCCAATAACTCGCCACACTGTTTATAGATATCTCTGAGATATACGGCTAACTTTGCTACTATCATATTTTTACGATGGTCAATTAAACTTTTTTCTAGTAGGCACTCTTGGGCCTGTGCCTGAAATAAGATATTTACAAAAAATGATACTTAACTGGAAGAGTGGGCAGAGTTTAGTCCATCCCACGAATGGATGTTCAATGAGGAAATGGGGAAGTGTGGTTCATCACTCAACTGTCCCTCTATTTTAAAACGCTATAAGTAAATTTCACCAAATGTTTTAACGGCTTTCGACTAATTTACTTTAAAAAAGTAAAGTTAATCTAATAGGGTGATTCAATAAACAAAAGCTTTCCACCTTGGTCTCCCTCCGACTTAAAAAAAAATAAAAAGCATTTTATAACAGTAAGCTTCCTAAACCAAAATTTCAAAATAGACCTCTTCATTTCACGCTAGAGCTCCAATCAATTCTGATGATTACTTGACTACTTGACAAATGATTACTTGACAAATTACTTGACTCCCATCCAAATCATCGAATTAAGTCAATACCACTTCAAAAATTTAAGAAAAAACTACAAAAACTCACCAGCATAATATTGCAGTACCATGTTAGTATGTTATTATCAAAGCTAAAAACCGAATATTTAGATGCATTCATCTTGTCTCGAATATACTGAAACGGATATGCAGCACACTGGAAATGTGTGAACGCATTCTTTATAGACTGCAAATAATACATTCTTTTTCTTCACCACACTACTGCATTCTTTGATAAATTTTCATATTAATTAACTAAATTTTAGGTTAAATTTTTCGTCCTTAATTATAATGGCAGAAATAAAAATATAAAAAATCGGAAATATAACAGTAACATCACAAACGCCCAAGAAAAACTTCACAGAATCAAGCGCTGACTTCAGAAATACAACTTACCTCTTCAGCCACCCTCTCCCCTCCCCTGTCTTGAATTTTTTCAAGAGAAAAAAAAAATTACATCAGGTTCAATTCTGCTCTCCGACGCGGCTATGCTAGCATGAATCACTCCTATATCGTACATTACACAGGCAAGTTCAAAATCAACATCAGCATACGTGCAACTATTGCTGTCACCATTCCTGTCACACCTGTGATAGATTCTGTAGAAAATTTGAATGTTTAAAGTGGTAAAACTATTCACCAATGTAGAAAATAATCTAACCAAGAGAAGGATATGTGTAATGGATCTCCTTCTTCCATAGGGAATCTGCTTTTCATCATTCTTAGCTGCGCATAATACCTTTTCACCTGACAAACTGTTTCGACATCGGGAAGAAAAGAGGAAAGTTTCTAGAAAACAAAAAGGAAACCACGACCATCGCCCAGTGAAATTGTTAAATACACTACTTAGGTCCACAGGCAAGTTGCCGAATCAAAAATTGGATATTCCACGATGGCTTCCACTACTATGCAACAAAATTATATGGAAAAAAAATTTAGCTAAGCTGCAATAAAATAACAAACTAACCGCCCTGAGGGATTCTAATTCGGACAAGGCACCTTCATACTTCCCCGGATCATCTTCATAATGACTTAATATGTACTAAAACTGTTAGTCGTTAATATTGATCCAAGTTTCCAAAAGAGTAACATCTCAAAGTTAATTTTCTTCTCTTTACGGTCATCGTACTGTGGTTAGTAGAACTAGAAATGGTCAGCCTCCAAATGTCAGAAGAACTACCGTACTTTCACACGCACAAAGATAAAAAATTTTATTCCAATTCGGACACAATTAGCTAACAATGGTAATTAAAGGTGAAAACAATCTGAAACAGAATACTCGACCTCCTTTATTTTTGTAGAAAATTCTGGAGATGTTGTGTTGGCATACTTGAAATCCGGATGAATCATGGGCAAACGCGGCATACCATCCATGGCTACAGTATCTATGTACAAAATATTCTTCTAAACTATCTGAAATTCTGCTGACCACTTAAAAAATTTTTTTACATACAGCTGAAAATGACCATAAGTAATATGCATTACGCAGATCCTCGGTTAAAGCGATATTTAATCATTGTGTTTAGCAAATTGTTCTGTTAAGTTGCCGTGTACTTTACATTCAGCTGTTCCATCAAAGAAAAGAAAAGAAAAACAATAAAGTTCCATTGCAAAAACGATGAGCGAAAAGATCCTGAACACAAACTCAATCTCCAGTACTACTGAATTCTACTATACACAATAAATAAACATTGCAAAGTTGAAAAAACGGACGGATACGATACTGTATATTTATAGCTACAATTCCATGTACGTGTAAATGGAACAGGACATCAAGTATCGAATCAACAAAAGCGCCATCAATGTAAATAAATTAAAATAACCGACACGATTAATGCAACGGTTAAACTCTTTAGCAACACTTATAAGCAAGAAAAACCGAGGTCACAAAACAGAAATCCTAAAAAATCTCCCAATTCCGCATACACACACTGCCACTTCCAAGCTACATTCACTGTTCTGACAACTGACACGGGCCCATTGTAACGGAACTACAACCTTCCATAATTGGTTAAATCAGTCGTTTGCCAACCGTTCGAATGATATATTGCGAGAAAACCAATGCTGGCGAACTTCCAAAATACCAGTCGCTGTTCCACTCGCTCCCTTACGGTCAAAAATGGGTTCCGGTCGTCATAGTGAAATATTTCCAGATTAAAATGCTCTCCAAAGTGACTGATGGATTTTATTCTATATACTTTACTTGATTGTTCTATCAGTTCTTCTCCTTTGTCTTGTTATGTGTGCTTTTTTAAGTCTTTTTGTCAACTCTTCCAGAAGGCAAGAAAGAATAGTGACTCGAATCTTTGTTCAACCCTTGTTTCATATCAGATGGTTTTTATTTCATTTTGTCTTTTGTTTTTTTTCTGATGGCAGACGAATAAAGTTTTGCAGAACGTAACTGGCAAATGCAACTGAAATGCACCAACAACTTGCAGAAGTAGTTTTGCAGTTGATAGGTGCGCACAGTACTTTTGCCAATAATAGTTTATAAATTCTTCAATTTTTTACCACAAATTTCTGGAACGTTAATGACTTTTGAAAAATAAGAGGAAAAACTTTTTGCAGTTCCATAAAAGACACACTGTGCTTGCACTCGTTAATTAAAAGAGGTTCCTCTAATAAACCTAAACCTTTCATCAGTTTTTTAGATGTCATTCCCATTTATATTGCTTATATTTGAAGAGAACAGAAAGCAGGACACAAAAGTGAGTCGACCGTGTAATTAATGCGTCTATTACTATTATAATTAAATGTTCTTTGATCATTCTTACAAGCAACCAACGTATTTTCATTACGTAGTTCCTGATGTGTTTCATAACCATTTTGATTGTGCGCTGCTTTTTTATTCTGCTTTATTTTCCAATTTTTAGTAGTTCAAAATTAATATCCTTTTAGTCCTGCACAAGCAAAAAAACATCTATTATAACTTTGTTCTGAATGATTTCAAGTTTTTTCATAGCAGTACCAGCAAGAAAAAAAGAATATAAAGTAGAATAACTTTGCAAAACAATGCATTAAACTAGGAGAAAATGGCAGTAAAACCACAAGACGATTGGTATTTGGTGAAAAACACTTCCAAAACACTTCCAAATAGACAAGAGGCTCCACGCGTAATGGACTTTTAGTGGACGCGTCGCACAGGTAATTACTGCCCGTTGTAGGGCGGTTCAGGAGCGGCAAATCCGACAAATTCGAAAAAGGTTGATTTGAATTTGGAAGCTTTTGATAGTAGTAACTGATTTTAGAAGATTAATTTTGAATTTATTGAAAACAAGCCATTAGGGTGAGAAGTATGATTCATTGGATTATTCCTGTGATTGTTCCTTTACAATACTCGAAAGCTAAACAGATACAGTAAAAATTTGCAACAAATAATTCTGTGGTTATTGGCAGTGGTCAATCTTCATTTGTGTATGTCGCTGTTACTATAGAGCATGCTAGAAATAGCGTTGTTAGGTTTCAAGTTGTTCTCTCGTACGGAATTTGCGTTCAAATTTTCTCTTCAGTGTATTCAAAATTGCAGCATCTGAGCAAATTTTCCAGATGCGCTATTGCCGCTTGTTTATTTTGCAGTAAAAATGAGTGGTGGACCTGGATTTGTTGGGATCAAGTTTTGTCCGGAGTGGTTGGCCTTTTGTTCTGCTTTTTTTTTTTTTTTTTCTAATTTGCTCAGTTTTTTTGATGAAATTGTTGGTAGTTGTTAAGAGTTTGTTTTTTTTTTTCTTTTTGAAATTTTACTGCTTTCTTATTTTTTTCTTGAACTAATTTTTCATAGTTAATGCATTTTAAGCAACAATATGCTGTACCCGAAAGAGGACAAAGAAAACAGACAGCTATTATATGCGTGTAGGAATTGTGACCACAAGCAGATTGCAGATAACCCTTGCATCTATGTTAATAAGTTGACCCACGAAGTTGAGTAAGTTTTATGTATGCATAAGATACATTTTCTAATATTACGCTTAGATCACACGGAATTACTAGTTACGTACTGACATTCCTTGGTATTTGTTTTACTTTTCATAAAAGTTGTTTAATATACCTTAAAAACATGAAGACGCTAATAAAGTTTTTATAGCCATTACTGCCCAAATGAATAGTCATTATTTATAGTTTGGTTTGCTCAGTTTTTCATTTTTTTCTCTGATTTTGTTTAAGTCGATAAAAAACACAATAAATATTTGTTGTTGACCTTTGGAACTTATGTACTTTAAATTTTGACGTTTTTTTACTGTTAGTATGATTTTTGAAGAGAATGGTGTCTTTAAATGCCAAAGTAAAATAAGATTTTAGTGAATTAACTCAGATAGTCGCTGATGTTATATATGACCCCACGTTGCCAAAGACAGAAGACCACCCTTGTCCAAAATGCAAAGGAAGAGAAGCCGTTTTTTTCCAGGCGCAGTCGAGGAGGGCCGAGGTGATAGACTTGTGTATATTTATATTTTCCTGCATAACTGTTATGGGTTTTTTAAAATATTCTATGGAATTATTATAGGCAGCTAGAAAATTTTATTATAACCTTATTTTGCTAGTGATTAGGACAGGTTTCCTTTTAAAGCACGTACTCGTTTGGAAAAAATAGAAAACTGACGAGAAGCTTCGTTCATTTGTTAATTATTTGAAGGAAGAGATGCGTTTATACTATGTATGCACCAATCCGGACTGCACTCATCGCTGGACTGATTAGACACCTATCGCATTTGAATTTCCAGAAACAAACGGGTTGCATTGTTAAAATATTTTGTTTGTATACTTGTCAGCTGATTGTATTTCAAAAAACCTTAGTTTATATCTTAGTAGTTTTCCGGATAAATACTAGTTATATATCATTACCTCTCTTAGTTTTTGCAAATTTCTTGATGTTTGGGGAGAAATTATTTAGGTTTTTTCATTTTTCAATTTTATGAATTATTGTGAACAAAATTTCTCTGCTTTCGTATGCTTTAATATTTATAAAACTTCCGGCAGAGTGTTACAATTTAAATGCTGCTATATACTATGTTTTTTTTTGTTCCGTAATTATTCTGCGATATATTAATTACGTATTTGTTAATACTGACTTAAATTTTTTTTTTTGGTTGTGACGGTTTGTTGCTTACGGAAATTGCTGTAAACTTGGAGGCATTTTGTTGATTCATTGTGTCCATCTTTTGATTCTGAGTCGACACTGTTGTCCTTGTTAACTGTTGTGTTGTATTACTTCTTAAACATGATTTAGGTTACCGTTTGTAATTTTTAAAATTCTTATGAGATGAACACCTCGGATGCACAAGATTTGTTGGGTTGGAGTCCAGCACCAAACAAGGATGATACACCGTTGGCATTAACTGACGTTGACAAAAAGGTTTATAAAATAAAATTTTTAATTTCTCGGTTTAGTGTTTACTGCAGCAGCTTTTTATTTACCTGGAACGCTTTTAGAAAAAACGTTCTCGCCCGGAGGCTGGCTTTAAAAGACCAGAAGGCATGCATCGGGAGTTATTTAGTTTGATCGGACGGAATCAGGAATTGGAGTTAGCAGCGTTGATTCCATCGTCAACGAAAGATAGAAGTTATCGAAGCCGAAAAGCTAGAGTTGGTTTCCCATAAACTAATGCAAATCGTAATTGTCAAGTTTTTATTTTCCAGTGGAAGTATGTTGTTAGACGTACAGAAGAAAGAGTTTAGTTTGGTATTCAAAGAGTGAGGCCGTGGTTGTGGCGACCATTCAAAAATCCGGCTCGTGATGATGATTTGCAGCTGTGCCACTGGGAAAGAGCGGATAGAGAGAAAACTGATTATTTATTTGCTAGGTTTAACAAGGTTCTCCTTCACTTATGTTAAGAAAATTCGTGGTGAATATTTGGTGTACGCAAATAAGCTTTGGCTCTTATAGGTAATAACAATACCAGAATTCACAGATGAGGAGTATGACAAGTGTCTAGTTTCACAGAAATGGACCAAGGAGGATACAATACATTTGTTTGATCTTTGCAAAAGGTTTGATTTGAGGTAAGGAAGTGTCATATGAAAGTTCTCTAAACTGGCGAAATGCAACGTAACGTTTATTGATCTTCAGATGGATAATAATAGCTGATCGATGGGCTGGTTCTACCCGTCGATCGATTGAGGACATGAAAGACAGATTTTATACTGTAATTAATGAACTGAATACTTTAAATGGTGTGGAGGCTGAACCTCTATGTTATGATGCCGAACATGAAAGAAGGAGGAAGGAGCAGCTGACAAAGCAGTGGGATAGGACTAGACAAGAGGTTTCTCCCGAATCTTGCACTATTGAGCTATTCTAAACTAAGAGTAATTAGTACTTTTTTTGGAAACAATGCGGTTTTGATTATTTTATTTAGAAAATTTAATCATATTTTGTGTTCATTTATTCCTATAATTTCTTTTCGCTGCTATATATATATGCAAATGACTTATACGTTTATTTTTTGAAGATTGAAGAGGAGGAGATGCTCATTATCGAACTGAAAAAGATTGAAATACGAAGAAGGGAACGGGAACGGAAAGCCCAGGATCTGCAAAAACTTATTACGGCAAGCGACCGCATGGGTGCGTCGACATCGAACTTGTGAGTCTTTTTTTCTGTTTCTACCATCTTTTTATTGACTTCTGCTGATTTTAAATTTGGGTCTTGGTTAAAAGCTTTTTTTAGGACATCTTCTGTGTCTCCAGCGTCTGCAATTAAAAAAAAGGCTCATAGGCCAAAAGCTTCTGGAGGTTCATTACCTCATTCCTCAAGCAGTGCTTTTCTTGCGGTATGTTGTTTTTTTAACGGAGGGTTTTACTACATAAGTTTTGTATTAACTTGTTTTATTGATACATTTTTCTACCTATAAAGTTACAGTTAGCTAAGGGTTACTTAATTGTTTCTCAAACTTTTCATAGAACTACTTTTAATTTCTGTTCAGGAACATTCATCTTTGCGTTTTCCTGAATTTCGGTCTGCTGGTGCCCATTTGCGGAGTCAAGAAATGAAATTGCCAACAAACATTGGACAGAAGAAGCTGAAGAATATTGAAACAGTAATTGAAAAATTAAAACTAGGTACTGATAGCCATTCTGAGATATAAGATTTTCAGTGTAATCAGCTACTAGCTTTCTTTTTGACAGAAATTTCTTAAAGTATTTTTATTTCAGATATGGTCCCGATTGGAGATGAAGAAATTGTTAGGGGTTACAATGAATTT